CGGAGGAAAACTCCGTGTTGCCTAGACCACGGCCTTGCCCAACACAAGTCATAAATTCGGGCACCGCCGGGAATCGAACCCGAGACCCCAGGATTACAAGGCCAGCGTTCTAACCGCTAGACCACCGTGGCTCTACTTAGGATTATATCCTATATATTAATACTTCGTACCTTTTCCTCTCATGTTTCATTTCGTGTGATGTGTGTTTCTCAAATACATCGTGCATCGTTTCTATTTCATTTCATTTTCACTGTCGTTCTGATGCTTCCAGCTGATTTTCCTTCGTCTGACCTTGGAATGTCTAGTCGAGAATCGTTTCTTCCATACTCTCTCATTAACTTTCTGTGTTAGCGCCAAATACTAACCAATCGTTGTCTAACTGCAATTAGAATGTTCCAAGAAAATTCCGCTTGTCCGACATTGGTTAACAACGAGATCAGGCCACAGACCTTCCGCTGTACACATGTCCAGGCTCCTTTGCTGATGGGACCGACCTATTCGTCACGATGCAAATGCAGTTCATGCTCTTATTTATCTCTGCCTTCCACTGACCTGACTTTCTGCAGTTTTTCACATCAAGCGACATTTATATTATCTACACGGTGGTCTAGCGGTTAGATCGCTGGCCTTGTAATCCTGGGGATCTCGGGTTCGATTGCCGGCGGTGCCCGAATTTATAACTTGTGTTGGGCAAGGCCGTGGTCTAGGCAACACGGAGTTTTCCTCCGTGGCATCCCAACAATTACTCCATTCACACACAGAAGAAGGCAATGGCAAAACACTTCTGGATCATCTGCCAAGAACGTATATGAACAGGTCCCAGTCCGAGAAAAGGATGGAAGGATCCTGTTCATATGGACCTGTCCTCAGACAGAACACTAAATAATAAATAAAACTTCAACGGAATAGAAGTTACTGAAAATGCGAAAATATCTGAAACCTATTCCTGAAAATAATCAGTGCACTAAAACAGAATTTTATGTCTCAAAACTCTGGCATTCTCAATCCCTTCACTGGCCAATTACATTTTAAAATAGCACAATCTGTGTTTCTACCTACAGATTCATTCCACAGAACAAAACCATTCTTGTTGTGAAACTGGTAGTTGCTCATTTACTCAAGAATTTCAGTGCCTGTCATGGAAGACCAAGATTTACAAGAGCCCGCCAGAAGAACTTATCCGGGGCCAGATTAATCCAATCCACACTCTCACATCGTATTTACTTTAAACCCAGTTCTGTATGATTCTCCCATCTAAGCCTGGGTCTTGGGAGTGGCCTCTTTCCTTCACGTTTTTCCGACAAAAACTCTGCTGTTTGTGCCGCCAATCTCAATGTTCTTGATTCCATCATCCTACTGATATTTCTGTGAATTGTAGGCCCAGAAATTATGAAGCGTGTTGTTTAATTTATCTCATAGGATACTTTGGTACCACAGGCAAGAATATACGTGTTTAATATCGCTATTCTACTGCAAACTCCATGCTGAAATCGCTCTAGAACTCTGTGCTTACACAATTTGTCATACCGAATTAATTTTGCAAGTTACAATTGCGTTGTAGACGAACTAGGTTAGACATGATTACGACAAAAACCTAATTAGCAGCAATCTTGAAACAATACCATAATTATGAAGTGCAAAGCATCTCTGGAGCGTTGTCTGTAAAACAGTTAAACTCAGCCAAAACTTACTACTCCAGAGACAAAGAGAAATTGCTCCCGCACGATCGCTAGCCAAGAAGTCCTTTGTCAGGCAGGCGAGTGGGATGCTGTGGTGAGACGAAGACGTCGACGTGTGACCTGAGGGCCCGGTAGCCGCCGCCGAGTGCACAGGTCCTCATTTCCTCCTCACGGACCGAGTAAAATATTACTCCACAAGCACTGAATTATTTTTGGATAATCCTGGCAGCCATTACACAAATGCGCCTCGGTCACTCACCTAGAGCCAAGAACATCAATTACGAGTCGCGATTTGAGGTTCCCATGGCCGTCACCCGGATCATGACGTCGAGAAGATTGCAGGTGAGTCCCAAAATTTCAGCTCCTGTCTACGATTCCGCACTGCGTCACAACCCACAGTGTGAATAGATCTTACTTATTAAAGCAAGAAAAATATTAAACTGTGCAACACGATAATATAATTGTGGTCCTCTAGATTAGGACAACTATTGTTATGAATATTTCGGAGGCATCTGTCTCCTCCATCTTCAGGATAGAAGTGGCGCTGTGTGATCTTGTTCATGGTCTTGTATTTGGTTAACAGCGTTTCGGATGAATATATGTCTTCCGTCTTCAAGGCAGAAAACTTTACGGTCTTGTGACAATCCTGATTTTCACTGTCATGAAGTCTCAAGTCTAAAACTTTAATTTTATGTCTGCGACACCGAATTCTATCGCGTCTCCCTCTCCTTCTCGTCGCCATGTGCTGTGTTTTCCTGAGTGTTGTAGGTAGAAGACTTGCGAAGGACTGAATAAGTCCTACCACATGTACGACGAAGACGACAGTGAGGAAAACGTCGCTGCAGATTATGAAATCGATGCCCACCACGAAGAAAACTGCGGTTGGGTCAGGCTAGGTTGCGTTAAATGTCAAAAGTGTTGTCGAATCGTGTGCAATGACCACAAAGAGTGTTTAAGCCCTAACTGCTCATAAATAACGCTCCTTTTCTCTAAAATAAATACCAAAAATTCTTTAATTATTACTTACAAGAAATTTCCTGAATCAATAAAAGTTCTCCGTTCAAACTTTAAGTCTCGCAGTCATTGATACATCACTTCCGGTACGAAATTCCCCAGTAGGGTACTAGGAGGATTATTCACATCTTCCTGTGAGCCTGGAGCAGAGGAATTTCTGTAGCAGCGTGTTCGGACATAAACAATTTAGAAGCAACATTAACGCTTCTCAAGAACACTTCATTTATCTGGCCACTAATTGGTCTGCAGTCTTAAATCTGATGAGAGGGCAGGCAGGCAGGCGACCGCCTCACCAAACTCATTAGATGCCCTCGCCTATAAATCTCCTCCCCACGCGGGGGGCCAGCAATTTGGCTACAATTTAAGGATCAAGAACCAATGGAAAATCGTGTTATCTTCTTTACATGTTACCTAAAATACATTCTGATAGACGCAAAGCTATCTGTAGTTCCTAGTCATATAAATGGCACGAAAGAGGAATATCGCTTTCGTCCACGACATACGACATTCTTCTGCCAAGGTCAGCTGCATTACTCGTAATCATCAGTGCAGATATCGACTAGTTTGGGCCAATTAAAATGTGTCTGAAGGAAAACTATAGCAAGTTTATCTCAGCGGTGTATTTCAAGATGTCGTGTCACCATCGCTTTTGAACTTTGCTTCAGAATACGCCACCAGGAATGGCTGAATGCAGACGCGGATTAAAAGAATTGTCAGTGGAACCACGGTTACGGAGAATTAGACGTAAATACGTCTATACGGAAAGGAAGTTTATATATTGGCTTTATTCTAATTATTTCCTTTATACATGCTTTACAATTGAGTAAAGTTTGATTAAGACTTTGCTTATTTAACTTGAATTAGTTACGCTTAAGATGGGTCTGTGGTAGCTGAATGTAATCGGCAAAGTTAAGTAATAAGAAGCCACAGATTTTTATTCACGAGGAAATTAAGAGCAGACTAAATTTGTTAAGTTTAATACACACAAAACTATAATTTCTGGTCTACCTATTGTTTTGTATTTGTGTAAATATGGTTTCCTGGTCTTAACGGTAGGACACAAATTGCGGGGAATTACAGAACAGGGAGTTTACGACAAAAGCTTTGACCCAAAAGCGAAGAACTGACAGGAGACAAATGAATAATGAGGAGCTCCATAATTTGTACGCATCACCAAATTTTACTATTACGATAATGGAATCAAGGCATTAATTTAGCCTAGGAACCAGTCAGAATGGCCGGTAGTAGAGACGGACGCAGCTGCGTTCTAGAGACACAAACTTCCACGAAGAGGATCAAACTGGAGCCTCCGGATAGTGGCAAGTGTTACGAAAACTCGATTTTCACTCCGGGTTCCGTAAGTCCTCTAGTCAATCATTAGTCTTTTCAAGCAATGCACATTGTATTATGTTATTAATTGTATTCTTAAGGTGTTTTCAACATGGAATGGCTGCTATCAGGGTGTTATTTATTCCAGAAGACTGGAAGGTCTATATATAGTGTACAAGAGAATCATGACACCGAAAGCAGAATGGTGATCGTTTAACAACGCTGTGTTGCCAGCTAAATTCAGTCAGGTCAATGAAAATACTGGCTTGCAAGTGACCCAGTCCACCACGCTAGTGGTTTGAAATCTGAGATGTTAAATTGTTCCATCTGTACGTCACTGCTTACGTAATACAGATGCACGACCTGTCCAAGGCCGAGCTACTGTCTCATGCACTCCCCCTTGAAAGACAAGATCTTGACCTCTGTCTGGAGACCTTGAGACTGTAATCTGGATAAATCGTGATTACACTTTATTGGGGGTGGGAGGGGGGCCTAAATCCCACTCCGTAGAACCTAGGGTCACACTCGTCACAGGCAGAACCTGGTTGGTTCTTGTGAACACGAAAAAGTTCTCAGTGGAACCACGGTTCCGGAGAATTTGACGTAAATACGTCTATACGGAAAGGAAGTTTATATATTGGCTTTATTCTAAATATTTCCTTTATACATGCTTTACAATTGAGATAAGTTTGATTAAGACATTGCTTATTTAACTTGAATTAGTTACAAAAAAAATTGGCTTTATTCTAAATATTTCCTTTATACATGCTTTACAATTGAGATAAGTTTGATTAAGACTTTGCTTATTCAACTTGAATTAGTTACGATTAAGATGGGTCTGTGGTAGCTGAATGTAATGTAATGTAATGTTTTATAAGCAACAACAATGCTAAGTAAACAATTGACGTTTCCAAGGTAACATAACAATGCAGTTACACTTTTTCGTTTCACTTTTTTCCGAATGACATTGACCCGAAAATATGGACGTATTTACGTCAAAAAAACCCATACAAGTTCCACAATTAAGATGCAGGCAGCAAGAACCTCTGAAACGTCGATAAACTTCTGCAAGACTACACGGCCCAACAACCAAGAAGACAGCCACCTCAGTTTATCGTCCTATTAGATTCAAAGAAATAAGATATCCCAATACAGATTCTGTGGCCATGCGTGTGTTCTATTGCAGGAACTTGAGAAGAGTTGCCAAGTAAACTGGATAGTACAGTTAAACGCTAACCGGGGTTACATTTCACCAACGCGGTTACGCCCGGACAACGAACTGAACGCATATCCAGACACAAAGGCAGGGAGGGTCGGTCAGACTCAAGAAGTCGGACACCTTCACCAGCTCTGGTACGGACACACAGTTCCTTTGTCCACAACACTCCACCAGCCAGCAACCACTCACTCTCCCTCCCCTCAACACGTGGCATTGAACCAGCTTGCAGGTGTTCGTGAAGAAACTAGATCCTCGCCTTCACTTTTGAGCTCGTGTTTGGAATCGTCGGCCCTAGAGAACGAGGGTTATCGCCCTGCTATTTTGTAGCTCGCTCATCGCTGATGGTTTATTAGCCTCTGGTCTCTGCTCAAAAGTAAAACGTGAAAAATCAGGCCCACGTTTTCGGAGCTCAAGGAGAAAACGGAACGTGTCCATGCGTACCTGCCCGAGAAAAGTAGTTCACATAGGGACGACACGTTCTTCACAAGAGTTACAGCCGTATTTTAAGAAAAGACTTGAAATATTGAACACAGCGATCGTATCTGGTCACAATGGGTAAGAAACTGTAACAACAAGCTTGCACTAGCCACTCGACTGGTCAAAATTTAACCAATTGGTTCATTTGGCTTGATCATAGTAATATTTCACTGCGAGTACAAATTATGGAGGCCCTCATTATGCATTTTTCTCTACCGTTTTATTTTATTAGGTTAAAATATTCTCAGCACCCTGTAGACTGAGGCAGTATGTTCCTCCAAAACATTGGTACCTCAGGAGACCAGCACTGACACGACTACATCAGCCAGCCTAATCACAAGACATGGAAACCTACAATGATAGCACCTAACCTCACATTTAAAATTAAAATTGATTAAAAGTGAAGAATTGCAGATCAGCTAAACCTACTCATTATGTGGGAATTTCGTGATGTATTAACATAATCTATGGGAATCAATTTACAGAATGATTTCTGTATTTTGGATAAGCATTAGTCTAGTAACATTACCCAATAGCAAAACAAATCTGCAAGTAAACACGAGGCTTTGAGAAAATTTTTGGTTGAGTAGCAAAGACGTTGGGATGGTGGAAAAGCATAAACTGAAAGGCATTTTAAAAGCAAATCCCAATTCCTGTTTCCATGTAACAGGACCATGTACATGTAGGCTGTATCACAAAATGATATTTCAGGTTCTCAAGGTAGTGAGTGCGAAGATGGCTGCCTTCTGGAATGTACATTTCAGATTTGAGGTTAAGGTCATAATTATTAAGAGGAGCACTGAATTGTTGATGTGTGGCTCATGTTCAGAAGGGCGAAAAATACCTGTTAAAGTACACCTACTTATTTGACCAAGGAAAGAGCAGTACGTCAGACAGAATATTGCAGAAGGAGACGCCGAACGTCGGGAAGTACGGTTATAATGAAATCATAATGAATTTTAAATACTTTCTTAAATGTGGCAAGTAACGAAAAAAATTCTGAAAGATGTTTTAACACAACACATGCAAAATCTAACGCAGAACATAAATCTTTCCAGTAACACAGGAAACTACAAATACATGGGATGTTGTTAATTTTCTGAAGTATATTTAATATACATGATATTTCAAGAGTTGGTTCTACTCCTGTCTTCATGAAATTGGGTCTCGTCATGAAGATGGCTGTCTGCTACACTGCACGGTGCAACAACCCACAAGACAGCCATATTCCTATTTGCCACCGAGCGAAACTGAAATCTCACTTGGTTTTCTTCAAACTGACAGGTATTTTTTTTAATTATTTTATTTAACTGATACTTGGGATTGAATCTTGTATGTTAACTAGATTATTTCTTGTTCCTTCAAAATTTATGTTGGGACTTCAGAATAGTTACTGTGCACATACTGGATACAGCTATTGAGGGCTGACTGGAGTCTCGACAACTTTCACAGAAAATTTGTTTTCTGTATATACCTGTACAATATCTCAGAACAGACTATTCTTTGGCATAACGAACAACATGTTCTCGACATGTGGCTCACTTCAGTGTTTAATACCCTGCATACATTTTATTCCAACACTGTGACACTATATCATGTTTAAAAATATTTCCTGATATCAGAAGATACAACTATTGATGTCAGTGTCTGGCAACTGTTCAGCACAAAGAACATAAAATTAAGAAATAGGTTATGTCCTACAGATGAACACAAAGAAGTATGCATGCTAATTGCAACAACATAAATTAATCAAGACAATAAAAGATTACTTATTACTCAACCATAAGCAGTGTAAAATACCTCACAAATAACAGAATTATACAGTAATTTGGGAACCTCTTCACATTAAAACTAATTCAGTACCAACATTTCTAATTAATTGCCATGGCATTTCAGTAAATTGTCATTTATCAAATAACTTGACACTTAACCTACAAAATATTCATGTAATTACTGGATCAAATAATTTATTTATATGAAAGAAAATACCTTAATATATCTGGTAGCTGATGCATAGCACTTCTCTGTAAGACTGTATACACTTTCTGATCTTCTGCACCCTCTGTAAGTTAACATTAACACACTACAATTACTTCTGCTTCACAGTTGTCACTTGTCACTGACTCATACGTCATGTTTGGAGGGAAGAAGTATGAAAAGGAAGAATGCTTTCAATTAAAATCTAATATTTGGGTTGCTAATGTAAAAAGTCCATTATAAAACCTTTCATATTATTTATAATTGTCACAAGACGAAACTAATTGTTTTATAACCTCAGCAAAAATTCGGTTTTTAATTTCTTGCACAGATATGACAATAACTCCTCAGCACAAACCCACTACATTAGCAGTTCTATTATTTTAAGTATTTCACTGTAATAATGTGTTCAATTTCAACAATATATTATTTATTTTATTTTTTAATCCATCATTTTTTCATACCTTTATTTCCTCCAAGCTTTTCTCCCATATTTATTTCTTTCCGTTCCACATCTCATGTCTCCTTGACCCTTCACATCCATCACTGCTACCACATTTGTTTTAAAAACAGAAAAAAGAAAACCCTCGCCGTACGTGGGGTACACGTTCCTCGAAAACGGCGCGTTCTGTGAATCCGCATTCCACGAACTTTGTATTGCATGGAATTAATGGGGATACGGGCAAGCGGCCGTGGAAATTCAAAGCAAGCAAACAAAAATGAACATATATACTGAAATGATTATTTATATATATCTATTTATGAAATTGTTGGTACTTCTGGGTTATTGGGACACATCGCTTTAAAAATAGGTTAGGTTAGGTTAATGTGTGTGGATAAATTACATATACTTGAAAGTTATTATATTGTATTTTATTTCAATAAATGACAAATTATTATATTTTATTTGGGTATTCAGGTCCAGGTATTCAACTCTCCCGTTTTGTGTCCCGATAACCAACAAGTACCAAATTGTTTTTTTAAGAAGTATCATTGAAAAATTTAAGCATTACAATGTTAGATTTTAAAATAAAATATTAACGGAATGCTGGGCCAATTGCTATTACGCTCATGTCACCGCGGAACTTATCTTTGTTCATTATCAGTACCTCCCTCTCAAAGCATCAAAATTTGGAACTACAATTTTTGAGTTCTGATACTAGCACTGGGTACTTGCATATGCAGGTAAGGATGCAAACCACTGACAACACCTATATAACAACCGCTGTTGTAAAACTGGTGTACCCTCTGCTGAAACAGGGTCAGATTGTGTGGTTGGATAATTTCTACAATTCATCCTATCTAAAACAATAAAAACTCTGCACCACCCTGAAAAGTTTCCATAAAAGTGAAAAAAACAACTGAAAAAGGGCAAAATATCAGCACAAGATTCTAGTCCTCTTTCTGTCACAAAATGGAGTTGACAGAAGATGATCATATCACAGTCATGACACCAGGACTTTTATAGTTGAATGCAAAGAAATATTCAATATCATTTAAGTGTTGGGTTACAATAAATGCGTGGGAGGGGTTAACTTAAAAGGCCAACTGCTGTACTCTTATTTGATTGAGAGAAAATGGCATATGAAGCCTAAGTGATCAGCTGGAATTCCAAATTCATTTAACTGAAGGACTATCTGTTAAGTAAGCAAATGTGAAACGCAAAGTACCAGGCTGCAATTTGGACAAAACATTGCCACGACTGCTGGAGAGACATTTTGTACACTCAACATCTGAGAAGGTTGCAAGAACACGAAGACAGTGCACTATTTGTTAGTGTGGGAACTCTGTACTGATGTATGACTTTGGACTCTTGTATGCTTAAAAGTAATTTAAAAACACATTCTTATTGATATTCTCTGAAAATGAAAAATTATTTCTTACAAATTTACTGCACTTGAAATGAAATGTTGCATTTTCAGGCTTCATAGTTCAAACAACCCTCTATTCCCAGGAATGAACAAGAATTGTGTCCTACAGCACCGAGGGGTTGACATCCAAGATTTCCAATGCTGCAAACCTGTTTCTGATCTTGACTTCCACAAAGTCCAATTTCCTGAGATTCAAGTACCTTCATACCAAAATTTTCTGTTGCTTGTTTACTTACGAATATCCTCTACTTTACCTCTGCAATCAGAATTAGTCAGCTTTTTCAGAAGACCGGGTAACAAGTACGTCAACGATCTTAAAACCATTCATATCATGTAGCAGTACAGAAATTTTACATAAACCAATCGCTATTATTGGCTATTTATTTACTTTACAACGCTAAACACATTTTGGTTCCATCAAGATGTGATCGGTCTGATTGTGTGGTCCTCGTGAAAAGCTGCCCTTTGTATCATCAGTTTTATCTTCACTTGGGGCATGTATACTCAGAACACCATCACAGTTACCTCTTAAGCGGCCCAACCACGTACGAGTCTGACTCGTGAGCCGGGCTCAGATATATTTCACCACACATGCGTAGCAGACTCGGCTCGTGACACCCCACCCACAAACGAGTTTGGCCCGATGGAACCCGAGCCGAGTCGGACTCGCAAGCCAGACTCGTACGTGGATGGGCCGCCTTAGTATTAATGTCACTCATGGCATACCAGTATGTGTTTGGTGTACAGACACAGTCCACATTTCATTTCGCAAAACAATCAGTTCTCACGCAATAAATATAGATTACCTATTTCGGCATAAAATAAATTCCATCATCGAGCATTTCAAATGAAATTTTACAAAAAACTATATTTTACAAAACACTCAATGTCAAAAAAAGTAGTTGTTTGATGAAATTAAATTCAGACTCTTTTTTTTTATACTATTACATAAGAAATCCTTTCACTAACAAACTTTAGCCTCTTAACCACTAATATAATTCCCTTCGGTATGAAAAATCCTGCATCGAAGTGATAAATAGAATTAACATTTCCATAGAAAGATATATAACTGACGTTTCAGTGTCATTCTAATCTTATCTGATCTCCTGTAGTCCCATTAACTTTCACTGTATTGGTACAGGAGCCTGCTAGTGAGTAAGTCACATCAGAACCCTGAAGATGAGCACAGAATTGTTCCCCAAATGTCGGTTTACTACGGTAACCAGCTAACGCGGCCGATTGCCCGAGAAGATTTTATTGCTAGTGAGTTGTCTCGATACAAATCTGGCTATGGCCATAGACGACCAGTTTTAATCATAAAATTTAGTACTAACATATAATTTTAATAATTAATGTGAAGTTTAAAGATATATAATTAACATTGCAAATCTAATTTTATACAGAGAAAACATTACTTGATCTTCGTAACAGATTAATGGAATGCTGACGTGAATGAAAGA